AATCCAGCCCTAGCCGCCCCATCGCTTGCTTGCCTGCCGAGCCAGGGAGCAGACTGCGGTCCGCTGCGTCTGCCCCCCATAGGCGCATAGGGTGGCGGTAACGGACGTCCGGCGGTAACACCAGATGGGTATTCTGGTTTCTCTCTTCAATTTCCGGAGTAGGTTTCTCAGCGTATACACGGGTTTAATGAAGGAAGGCAGACATGCAGATTGTGGCCCTTTGAATGTGAAAGGAGGTGTGTTCAGGCGGGCGACACCTTTTTAGCCGGCGCGCAGCTTCAATGCCAGCAGTGAGAAGTCGCGTCCGTCTGTGGCTCCCTCCCGTCCAGTCAAATTGTGGGCATCATCATTGCCGACTGTTGTATACTCTGGGTCGGCATGAATGCGGCGCGACAAGTGATGCGGGCGTTCGATGGAAAGCGCACAAGAGGTGGGTGGTGTTTTTTAATGAGCCAGGGCACTCAGACGCGGGCGTGGCAGCTGTTTAGACGGTCACAAAGCCTCATGTTTGTCTCTAGAATGTGTTTAGACTGCCGTGTAGATCAATACAGATTCTATTTGAATGGCTTGCGTGGTCCGGACTGCGCATTTCTGATGTTTTTGAGGGGCGTCGTTGAAGATGCCCTCACTATGTTGTTTGATCTTTCATAGGACATGTCCGTCGGTGCTTCCTGCTGTCCGACCCAGCCCACACGAGTACACGACAAGTTGCTTGACTTGACCTACGGCTGGTCCACTTCGTCTGCCTGTTTTCCTCTAGGGATTCTTTTGTAAAAGTGGGTCCACTTCCACACGGGATCGCCATGTTGCCATACTTCATTGTTTTTCCATGATAATACGTTCTTGTTTTCGCTTCCAGATTAGGTTTGTGATGTTGTGCATGATGTATACGCGCATAGGATGCATTCTACTTACGTCTCTATCTAACCTACGGGTTTTTTTTCCATCCAGAGAGGAAAACCAAAGACACTCCTACTTCAGTCTGGTGTCACAAGTCTACCACTCCCCGCATCCCTCCGCTCGTTGTAAGCAAGCCGCCGCCCCCATCGCCTGCCGAGCCAGCGAGCAGACGGCGGTCGAGTGCTTCCGCCAACGCAGAGCCGGAGACTGACGGCGGTCGGGTGCTTCCGCCCCCGGCCACCCGCAGAGACCCAGACAGCGGCGGTAGCACCAGGTACGCACTCTGGTTTCGCTCTTCACTTTCCTAAACCAGCTCAGTAGTGGTAGTTAGAGTATTATGGAGGTTCGTCGGATGTAGGAGGTGGATCAACGCAAACACGATGGCTAATTTCTGTTTCCAAATTGTCCCAGCTGTTCTTCTGATCTGCTAGTTTCGGTTCTAAACACGAACGCTTGGCCACCAAACATCTTTATGACTACTAAAATCAACAAACGCGCGGGGTCACGGTCGGCGAAGGCGGAGGTTGCACGTACGGCTGTCGGCGCTCGCTCCTTCTCAGGGCTGCGGCGTGGCGTGTGCCAGATGGTGGTGACGAAGAGAAGACGCCAGAACTGACGCTCTGGCCTGGGACGCACACGCACAAAGGAGGGAGTTGCGACGTGCAGGGAACAGGAGGGATGCGTCGACTTGCTAGGGGGGCGGCCGGCGAGGCGGCGACGACTGCTAGGCTAGGTGCTAGCTGCGCGGGGTGCGGGGTGAAGCGCGGAGGAAGAAGATAAGACATGGGCTGCCAGGTGGGCCCAGCAATTTTTTAGTACGCTTATTCAATTTTTATTCATAAATTTCATTTTCTGTAGTGATTATTCATCCATTTGCGTTTTTTGGCTAGTTTTATTAAGATCAAATAATCAGTGCATCATCTAGTAAAAACATTACTGAGCTAGGATACGGGCCGCTTGATTAGTGGACCCATAACAATGTTTAAACTTTACCTTCCCAATAGAACCACTAATATCCACACATCCCACGAAGATTGCTGAGACCAGTGTCCCACCAACATGGTTGATCAGTGCAGAAGTCTATAACGATAAAATGATCCTTTTGCTGATTGTACCCATGGCACAGGTCACTGGAAACCGCTCTTGCGTTTTACATTGTTTGGGGTGGAGAAGGTGAAAAAGCACCTTCCTCCCGCATCGCTCCCATAGGCGACGCGGAGGGCCCCTTCGCTGGCACCCCACCAGTTTCCTCCTCCTTGCCATCGCCATATGCGCGGCGGGGCACTTCACCTCCTCAAGCGGGGGACACAGTTTTGGGTAGCGTCGTTGGACCGGGATGGCGCATTGGCGAGGGCCGCAGTGGGACGGCGATGGCCTCCCGGGTCGGCGGTGCATGGGTCTGCGACGGCTTGGTGGGCCTCGCGGCTACGATGGATGCCTGCGGTGCTGTGGTGGATTGGGATCGGCCCCGATCTGGTTTTCGACAGTAGCAGGCAACGTGGGATACATCTAGTGGCCTTTGCAGTGGTGAGAGAAGTTAGATCTGGTACAACGTGCTTGATTCGGACCTTGGCTGGTGTGGCCTTTGTTCATGGAAAGAGGAGTTGTGGGGGGTCACCGAGGGGAGGGCTTAGGTGGCAAGCATTGGAGTGTGCTGCATAGCAACTGCAACATTGGTGGTCTAAGTACCCTGAGTTGGTCGGAACCGTAATCTCACCGATGGGGACGGGGGTCGAAGGCGATGTTGTCTGAATACAACGATGCATGGGCTGCCAGGTGGCCCCAGCAATTTATTAGTATGCTTGTTCAATTTTTATTCATAAATTTGATTTACTGTAGTTATTATTCATCCATTTGCGTATTGGCTAGTTTTATTAAGATCAAATAATCAGTACATCATCTAGTAAAAACATTACTGAGCTAGGATACGAGCAGCTTGATTAGTGGACCCATAACAATGTTTAAACTTTACCATCCCAATAGAACCACTAATATCCACACATTCCACGAAGATTGCTGAGACCATCATCCCACCAACATGACTATACCCATGGCATTGGTACCATGTTATTGAAAATCGCTCTTGCGTTTTATATGGTTTGGGGTGAAGAAGGTGAAAAAGGCCCTTCCTCCTGCATCGCTCCCATAGATGATGGGGAGGGCCCCTCCACTGCCACCGCTAGTTTCCTCCTCCGCCCTCCTCCTCGCCATTGCCAGATGCGCGGCGGGGCACTTCACCTACTCAAGCAGTGGACGCAGTTTTGGGTGCCGTTGTTGGACCGGGATGGCGCAATGGCGAGGGCCGCGATAGGGCAGCAATGGCTTTCCTGCGTCGGCAGTGCGTGGGTGTGCAGCGGCTCGATGGGCCTCGCGGTGACGATGTGTGCCTGCGGTGCTGTGGCGGATCAGGATCGGCCCCGATCTGGTGTGGGCTACAACCAGTGGCTTCTGCCAAAAGCGGGACACATGGGTCGTCGCGGTGGCAAGAGAAAGTGGATCTGGTACAACATGCTCGATGTGGACCTTGGCTGGTGTGGCCTTTGTTCATGGAAAGAGGAGTTGTGGGGGATCGCCGAGGGGAGGAGTTAGGTGGCAGGCATATTGGGGTGTGCTGCATAGCAAGTGCGATATTGGGGGGTCTAGGTACCCTGAGTTCTTCGAAACCGTAATCCCACCGACGGGGAGTGGGATTTAGGCAATGTTGTCCGACAATAACGATGCATGTGGGCATTGTTCCCCTCCTTGGAGGCATTGTCTCTGATATCCTCTACCTATCCTCGTTTCCCAACTCCAATTTTTCGGAGTGGGCAGCGGTGGCATCTACGTCGTAACCTCCTTGGTGGTATGGCTTGGGAGAGCCAACTTATGGCCGTCATGTAAGGTTCTCCCACCATCATGAGTAGTGTATGATGGGGTAGCGACTCCAGGATATTCATTACGTGTCAAGGCAACAGTCTAGGGTAGCGGCGGGGCAAACGGTCCATGCCGCTGGGTTGCAACTCAACAGGGATTTGTTGTCGTCCTTGAGATGACGGGGCAGCACGGTTGTCAGCACGGTCGACGCCCGCCGATGGGGACAATTGGACAATATGTCAGGGTGACTATCCCCGAAGTGGTGTGACGACCGTGGTCCACAGGTGGTCTCTCTGTGCAGCGTGGAATGCGATTATATGGGTCACACAGTGTTGTAGATCGAGGGGGAGTGGTCGGATGTCAGGGTAGTGGCCCCATAAGGTTGTGTGACTGAACGAGCAGGGCATGGCGAGCAGTGGATATCTGGGCAGCGACCCCGATAGTTTAGCAACTTCAAGGGCTTTGACTTTGTGGGACGAGATTACCTTCGATATTGGTCATCGGCATGTTAGATGATGCTACTGGCACATGGCTTGTCGAGTGCATGCCCATCATTTCTACGAGGGAGTCCCATGACTGCTCCTTCGATATCATTCATGACTCCTTTCATTTCAGTAGTGGTGGAAGTCCCGCTTGTTTGGCAGTTGGGCGCCCATTAGTCTGTATGTGTGGTTGGTGGTTGTTTTGTCATTCGGCATATCGTTGGTCAGAGTTGCCTTGGCCATGCGTGTTTCGGAGTTCATGAGTCAGTTTGGCCGTTGATGTATCAGGTTTCGCCTGGTTTTTGTATTTTTTTTTTTTTGCGAATTACCCGATTTCCGTAATTAATTGGGCAACTATATTCTTCTTGTTCAATGGGAATTGGAAAGGCCAGTGTTTTTGCCTCGCATTTAAAAAAAGACACAACAAACCACATTAACCTGATGTTACAACATTTGAGCATTCGCGACAAAGAGATATACAACCAGGCATGTTAATTCAGTAAACCAACAATTGTAAAGAAACAAAAAAATGAATAACTCGAATTTTGACACACAAAGGGATGAAAATTCCTAAATACCTAATGTGTGATCCATCTTATATTAAGCATGCAAAATTATTGTAATATCAATTGCACAACCAACTCAGTCACAGGGTTTACAATAGTTTGGCATATATCTGTTGAAACTATCGACCTTTCTAGGGCCAGATATAAACATAACACCAATAACATATATAACTAATTGAATCTTTCAGGTGATTAACCAATGGTCAAGCGTATGGCATTGGTGCTACTGCTCGTCGTTGCAATCACGCTATATCTAGCATCTACATCAGCACAACCTGTCCCTGGATGCCAAACATACTGTGGAGATATCAAAATACCTTATCCATTTGGCATTGGTGCAAACTGTGCCATCAAAACTGGCTTTGAGATTAACTGCAATAGGACTGCCGATGGAACTATGAAGCCATTCATTGTCAATATCGAGGTTCTAGATATATCACTGCTCCATGGTCAAACACGGGCATTAAACGCCATGTCAACGTATTGCTACAATCATGCCACAGGATCAATGTATGACAACACGTTTTGGCTTGACTTCTCATCATGGCCTTACCGGTTCTCTGACGTGCAAAACAAGTTCATAGTCATTGGCTGCAACACACTTGCTTACATCTATAACAGCAAAAACAGGACCGGGTACACGACAGCATGTGCATCAGTGTGTGCGAGCCCAGGAGCCGTGACAAATGGCTCATGCTCTGGTGTAGGGTGCTGCCAAAATGCTATTCCCAAGGGCTTAAGGCGCTATGATGTCTATTTCAGAAATGTCTATAATGATCAAGATAGTTGGCAGTTTAACCCATGCAGCTATGCTGCCCTTGTGGAAACAAAGACATTTAATTTCAGCTCCGACTACATAACCACAAAGAGGTTCAATGATACATACAAAGGGAGGCAGCCACTGGTTCTGGACTGGGTAATTGGAGATGAAACATGCGAGGTGGCCAGGAACATGACTTCTTATGCATGCCGCAGCGCAAACAGCGTGTGTGTGGATTCAACCAATGGTCCAGGGTATATATGCAACTGCTCCAGGGGGTACGAAGGAAACCCTTACCTCTTGGATGGATGCACAGGCAAGTTATTCTCTTTGCTAAGCTTCCATATGACATTGTCATGTTGTATTCTGCAAACCAACAAAATATGTATTGGAAGTTTGAAACACATTGGAGATTGCCGAGCAGAAGATTTAATTTCAAGTGGTAAAAATAAACTTCAGTCACAATGAGCAAAAAGGAAATTAATGGACAACAACAAAGTTTATAATCTCTTGTCGGTGTATTTTTAATAGAAAAACTGGAGTAACCAATACCAAAATCAAGCAAAAACAAATGTTGGTGAAAATATTGTATCTTTTTGTTTTTACTTTCTTCATCTAGGACAGATCTGGCCAGAATATGTGTCGCAATTTTTTAATCAACGTTAATCGCCTTTCTTTGGTGAGAAATAATGAATATCAGACTCAATGTTGCTCATGCCATTTCATAGATATTTACTAGTATTGAATCTCAAATTTATTCATACTAAACTATTCGATAAACCATTTGATCACAAGTGATCTTTTTTCCCATTGCAGATGTCAATGAATGTGAGAAGTATCCAAGTAAATGCCCAAAGACTGCTGTATGCCACAATACAAAAGGAGATTACCGATGTTCATGTCCTCCAGGCAGAAAGTTGGCGAAGGACACGAACTCTTGTAACCCAGATATCACCCTAATCATAGGTAAATAACTTTAAATGTTAGCCTCTTGCTCAGTTCTTGTGTAGAAAAATTGAACCGATTGCAACTGTATTAAGAAATTTAAATAGTACTCCCTCTGTAAAGTAATATAAGACCTTTTAGATTAGTGATCTGAAAGGTATCTAAAAGGTACAGTATTACATATACACACTCTGTAACTACTAGTGTTGTTATGGTGTACAATGTGCAAATCTAACAGATTCTAGGAACAGTAGCACAAATGCATGAGTGCACGTACAGGTGTTAAGCACACTTTGCAAAAATGCTCAAACAGCATATGAATACGTGATGCATTGCCATGGGCTTTAAAACTTAAATAAATTTGACAAAGTCTGGAAAAGTAAGACCACATTGCTTTACAAGGAATGAATGTATTACCGAAAAAGGGTTTCCCCCCGCTTTACAAGGAATGAATGTATTAGATCACCACGTTTTAATCTGTTACTATAGACACAGTAAATTTAACAAGCTTTTAATATGCATGCAAGATAATTTTTGGAGTCCATTTAAGGGAATTAAATTCAAATCAATTTTTACAGGCACTTGCATCGGCTGTATCGTTCTAGTGATTGTCATCTTCTGCATGCGTTTAATTTTTGAGAGAAGAAAGCTCACAGATGTCAAGAAACAGTATTTTCAGCAACATGGAGGTGTGCTATTATTCGAGAAGATGAAATCCGACCAGGGACTTGCATTTACGGTATTCACTGAAGCACAAGTAGAAGAAGCAACAAACAAGTTTGACAAAAGCCAAATTCTAGGACATGGGGGCCATGGGACTGTTTACAAGGGCATTATTAAGGGTACAAATCCAGTGGCAATCAAAAGATGTGCATTGATTGATGAAAGGCATAAGAAGGAATTTGGTAAAGAAATGCTGATTCTCTCCCAGATCAATCACAAGAACATCGTCAAGCTGTTGGGCTGCTGCCTGGAGGTGGAAGTCCCAATGCTGGTGTATGAGTTCATCCCAAAAGGAACATTGTTTGATCTTCTTCACGGAAAGAACCGCACACGGCACATCCCATTCAGTTCGCTCTTAAGGATCGTAAATGAGGCAGCAGAGGGGCTTGCATTTTTACATTCCTATGCAAACCCACCAATTCTACATGGTGATGTGAAAACTTCTAACATCCTTCTTGATGACAATTACATGGCAAAGGTATCCGACTTTGGGGCTTCCATACTAGTACCAACTGATCAAGCCCAGTTTGTGACAATGGTTCAAGGGACTTGTGGTTATCTGGATCCTGAATATATGCAGACATGTCGGTTGACAGATAAAAGCGATGTTTATAGCTTTGGTGTCGTCCTTTTGGAAGTCCTTACTGGGCAGGTGCCACTAAAACTGGAAGGTAATGAGTCACAAAGAAGCTTGGCATCATGTTTCCTAGTGGCTATGAAGGAGAACAACCTTGATGCCATGTTGGATAGTCAAATAAAAGATCACGAGAGCATGGAGCTGCTTACTGGACTAGCGGAACTAGCAAAGCAATGCTTGGATATGTGTGGTGACAACAGGCCCTCCATGAAAGAGGTATCTATGGAGCTTACCAGATTAAGGAGGCTTTCCAAACATCCTTGGATGCATCACGATGCTGATACAGAGAGCTTTCTCAGTGCACCATCAACCAGTAGTTTTGAAATAGAACAAGGCTCTGAATACACAAGGAAGGATGAACAAATGCCCATGAATCCAAGCAGTTCTTACTTTATCAGATGAAGAGAAGTATTGGCAGTTCTATACTGCAGCATTTTCATTGGTCCTTCTCCTTCATGTAATCCCTTCTTAAATTACTGGCGAAAAAATACTTCCAGATTGTAAGACTTTATCATCGTAGAAATCTACAAGGCATTGGCATCACCTAAGCAGCATAATATACTTTATCATCGATAATAAGAATATAAATGTAAACGGGGGTGAATTCAGTGCTGCACCATATCTGCATGTCAGCTCAGATTCAAGATGGCAGTGGGGAATTACCTGACCGGTTAATGCACCTTTTCCCGTACCCGCGAACCACAGACATCCCTTTACCCTCCCCGTCCCCGGACGAGACTTGCCTGCTCCCGGCGTGTGCGTCCATTCGTGCTCCCGTGTACGTGGCTTGATTTGATTGGAACAAAATAAGGCCCAGCCCCACCCTCTTAAAACTAGGGGGGAGATGATTAAATTAGAAAGGAAAAAGGGAAAAAGACAGCCATAGGATAAAGTGGGAGCACGGATGAGAGCATGGGGAGTGAGCAGGCAAGCCGGATCCCCCGTCCCCGGCCGTGGGGGGAAATTTCGGCCAACACTGTTACCCCACGAGGAAACACATCCCTTCTTCTTCTCTGATTTGCCTTATCTTTTTTTAGAAAAAGAGCATTACCCCCGGCCTCTGCATCTGAGCGATGCATGCATCCATTTTATTAATTATTCTCGGAGACCTTATAAGGCATTACATCAGTAAGCCTGAAGCCACAATCTTGGCGACATCTGTCGCTACTCCAACCTCCTTGATGCAGGGGTGCCGAATGTCTGGGCCTAATACCAAACAGACATCACACCAAAACCTAACATCTGATGCCGGTTGCCTCGTCCTAGCCACATATCGGTAATGGGTCACGCACCGGTCCGACGCACTCATTGAGGCTACCGCAGCCGTCATCCACCTAACCATCTTCAGAGCAGGTACCGACGCAAAGAATTTGCGTGGTCAGCTGTCAACGCCACCATGATGCCAGACAACGCCACCACCCTACGCCCGTCCATCTAGCCGCATCTGTCGTCGATATCCAGCTGCAACATGCCGCCAATACTCGTCGTCACCGACGTGGTAGAAACAAGGCCGCACTTCCTGGCAACCTCCACACCGTCGCCGCTGCTGGAGCTACGCGGAATCCATCACCCACATCATCTCTTCGCCGAACAGAAGAACCTCCCAAGACTGCGCCTCCACGGAGGGTACAACGCGAAGGACGTCGCCGCTGCCCAATCCAGACTGAATTTTGGACTTTTGTCCGGGAGGGGTTCGGAGTTAGATTGGAGAGACCTCGGCATCGCCTCCACAGAAGGTAACAACATCGAGAGACGTCGCCGATGCCGAACCGAACAAGCCGATCAAGGTTTTCTCCAGTCTCCATCCTATACCACCAAACCTCCATCGGCTTTGGATCTGGCAACCACGAACCGAAACCTGAAAGATGAGAGAGCCATGGGGGTCAACCCACCATGAAGGAGGATCGAGAAGAATCCATCGTAGATCCCCAGGCGCCGAATCCAGCGATCCGGCGTGGTCAGAGACGACGACCACCACCCCGCGGCGGCTGACGACGTTCAAGCCCAAGACACAGAATTGGATCTGATCTAAACCCAGCAGCGCCCGCGACCACCGATCTTGCCCACCACACAACCATCACCATGCCGCGAGCAGGCCGCCGCCGCAGCCGGGCCGCGCACGACGTCGCCAAGAAACCCGTCCGCCGCGCCGTTCAACCCCACTCTAGCCCGGCGCCCCGCCCGATCTGGCTTCCCCATGCCAGCCACGATGGACATGGGGGAGAGATGCCCCGCCGCCACCCAACCGGCCAAGCTTTGCCCGACGGTGAGGAGAGGTGGAGGTGGGAGGAGGGCCAAGAGGGCGGTGGCTAGGGTTCCCCCGTGGGGGCAACACGAGGGGAAGGAGGAGGACGACAAGAAAAATAGAGTTACCATAAAATTGGGGGAGAATTTCACTTCCCCGGCCTCTGCACCAAATAGGGATGCATACGGCCTTTTAAGTATGAGTAATAGGATTTTTAATCTCAATTGCGCACCGAGCCTAGTCCTTAATAAATGCGTAAGTATTAGGAAAGCCTGGTCCTTAAGAATAAATAGGAACCTAAATTCACCTCTGTGAAGATTTGAATCCAGGTGTTGGGTTTGTAAATCCACTACCCCAACCAGTTGAGCTAGGCTCACTCCCCCTAAAATAGACTGCCGCTCTCAGTCTGCGCATGATGCTTGCCTTGGTCTGTGCAGTCCTAGAGCCTGGCTGGTGCAGCAGCGATGAAGCAGTCGCTCATCCACCGTGAGGGCGCGGAGATATGTTGCATTAGAGATATACCAACAAAACCATATGTGTGCTTGTGCACGTGAGGAGTCGCCCATGGTCGCCGGAGCAACCTCCTCTGGATCGGGTGAGGCCACTGAGACAAGCTCTCATCTTTTCCCGACGGGGAGGCCATGGTCTCGCGGGGACCAGGGCGTCGAGCCCCGCACTCGATGGTCACCGGCTGCTATGGAGTTGTCCTCTCTCTGGCGAAGTGGCGAGGGAAGCCGAATGGGGAGGTGGCGCAGTTGGTCGATTCGGTGGAGGGCGAGTCGAGATGGGGAGGATGAGAACGTGGTGCTCATCGAAGGAGGGTGAGGGCGGACGACGAAGGAAGATTTGTGGTGGATGGGTAGCCTGGGTTGCGAAACAGGAGGAGTGGAGACGTGGGGATGAGGTCACGAGGAGATGTGAGGAGCCGAGGGGATGACACGAGCCAAATCGGTATATTGCAATTCACTTGGAGGTGGCAGTACTCTGTAGTATCTGGCAACTCTCGCTTCCCAACTCTTCACATTTTGTACTCAAAAAAGTCTCTAGCTTGTCTCCAAGAACTCTATGAGTTAGACCATGCGGCCCAGCTCCGAACCCAGAGTTTGAGGAGTTGGGAACTGGAGCATTCACTACCGGAATCGCCCCCTATGCCGACGGCCAGGGCCGTCGGCATAGGCCTGAGTCCCGTCGGGGTAGACCTATGCTGACGGCCCCCGTCGGCATAGGGCCGTCGGCAACATATGCGTCGGCACAGCCAGGAAGGCCGTCGGCTTAGAAAAGCCGTCGGCATATATGATACACCGACGGGGGCCGTACATCTATGCCGACGGCCCAGGCCGTCGGCAACTATCACGCCTAACGACGGCCGCCGTCAAGTCTGCCCAATGACCGATCGCCACGTGGCACCCCTATGCCGACGGCCTAGCCGTCGGCTTAGCCAAAACCTATGCCGACGGCTAGACCGTCGGCATAGGGGTGCCACGTGGCGACCAGCCGCTGCTCTAGGACCAGGTCCGGCATAATTTGAAACTAAGCCGACGGCCAGGCCGTCGGCATAGTCCTTCATACAGAGCTCCCAGTAGCTGACACGTGGGCGCCTATGCCGACGGCCTAGGCGTCGGCACAGTTTTTAAACTAAGCCGACGGCTAGGCCGTCGGCATAGGCGCCCACGTGTCAGCTACTGGGAGCTCACGCTAGCCCTATGCCGACGGCCTAGCCGTCGGCATAGTTTGCTTTTGCTTTTTTTTTCTTTTTTCTGTTTGTTTTCAGATCAATTCAATTCAAATAGCAACACATATCAGCAGATATATATGATGAGATAGACATATAAAACACAACAAGATATCATCCGACACCATCACAACAATATATGCATAAGCATCATCACACACAAGTCTCTAAATGAACATCATCACAACCAACATAAGCATATAGAGAAGCACACAAGTCATCTAAATGATCATCACCACACACAAGTCATCTCAAGCATCATCACCACACAAGGATCATCGAGCACCGCGGAGGTCGTCACCGCCAAGACGGCCAAAGCCCAGGTCGTCAGTGCTAGCGGCAGCACTACCGCCAAGACCGCCTCCGCCTCCGCCTCCGTGGATCGGAGTGGTCGGGCTCCGTGTCTCCGGAGTGCTGCGAAGACCGCCGCCAACGGTAGATCCAGATGTTCCCTGGATGTTGAAAAGACATATGCACGGGATATATGACTGTGTTGAAAGGCATGACATGCTTTGGGTGAATAGATTGGGGATGAACTCACCGGCGAGGGGCCAGCGTTCTGTGCCACAAACTCCTCAAAGCTCATCAGCACTGGTTGTGCTGGAGGGCATTGTGCTGGCGGGAACTGAGGACACCTGCCAGCCACCATATCCTAAAAAGCCTGCTGCATCTGGCTATCCCTCTGCACTTGGTGTTCATAAAGCCTCTGATGCCACGCCATGGTCTCCTGGCGTGTGTACTCCATGTAGGCCTACGGTATGACATGATGGAACTCATAAAACTACTAAATGCGGAAAATGAAGTTTGCAATGAAGATAAGAGGGAAAATACTTACAAATTGTTGCTCCTGAAAGAGGGACTGTGTACTGGTCACTGACTGGCTCGTGCGCTGGCTCAGGCTCGGGTCGATCCGACGAAGCTGTGTGTAGGAGATACTAGGAGTGATCACACCATCGAGAACCGCCTCCCGACCGTGCTCCTTGGGCCCCATGCTCACCACCGCCCTGTCGTCCAGAGGCGCCGCAATGGGGTCAGGTGTGTCAGGATGCAACTTCAGATACGCTTCAGAGTAGGCCTGCTTCCTCCCCGCGGTCTTCTTGTCGTAGTACTGGGGCTCGCCAGGCTTGGAGTCCTTCCGCGTATGGGCGATCTCCCACGCCTGCATGTCTGAGAGCGGCCGCTTCAGTTTCTCCTCCTGCACCACCAAACAGAGGTTAGTCATACATAAGAAAGTGATGGTAAATAGAAGAAGAAGAATGTTTAATGGGGTTAGTCATACATTAACTGCCTTGTGGAGATAGTGGTTTCGGTTTCCCTGAGCATGTACTCCCTCCGTCCCTCGGTTAGCCTTATTTTTGGTTCTCATAGCCGCCCAGGCTCCAGCCTCATCACACCAAAGATCCACCAATGCCGCCCAGGACTTGT